AGTCATGGAAAGTGGATAAACCTCTGTGAAATTATTGCCCTGAGAAAATCTTTAAAACTTAAGCAAAAAAATATTCACTGAAGCCATCTTAAAACTGAACAATACCAAACACCCAAACCAAGCCCACTGTCATCAAGTTGACTCTACCTCACAGCAACTCTAGGAGCATCCGAGGGTTAGCAGCTCAATGCTTGGCCCAGAGAGCCTACTAACAAATGCCTTCCTTGAGCATTCTGCTCAAGGACTATACAGGATCAAACTGACATTAACAACTCAACAGGTTTGATAGGCACCTAAGGGAGCAGTGAATTTATGAGGCATGACAATTCAGACACTTCAGGAAAGGATGATGAGAAAGGCTATGCAACTTAAAGAATGTACTGATTATCACAAAACTGTACATGTAGACGCTGTGGTATTGGTCTATGTTTTGCTATGTACATCTTCAACAACAAATACAATTTAGAAAATAATTTTAAAAAATCAATTGACTATAAATGAGGGGGATTCAAAAAGCTCATGGAAAACTGGAATGAAAAGATAATGGAACTTTTCCACAATATTTTGAAGTCCCCTCTTATGTGAGGGTTTATTTTAGGGGTCTCTACTCCATTCTATCGGTCAGCCTTAAGTGATTAGTAAATTCATATAGGTTTCATAGAGTCTTAACATTTTAAGGCTGTAAGGAGTTACAGCGTTGATTCCAAACTTAACATGCTCAGCTGCTACCCAAAAGATTCAGAGTTAAAATCCACCCAGAGGCAATTTGAAAGGAAAACATATTTCTGAACATTTAGCCACTTAAATCCCTATAGAGCAGTTTTACTATAGCACACATGGGCTTGGCCATCAGTTAGTGTTGCCTGAGCAGCAACTGGTGATGGTTCAGGCAACTAAGGCCAGTAAATATTACGTCATTTGGTCAGGATTTGAGATTAGAATTCAGATTTCCTGACTTTTGCACACTCTTCCAAGTTTATTCATTTCTTTACTAGATATATGCTAATTAGCTAGGTTTTCCACATTCTGCTTTTGGCCCTCATTTTTTTAGTAGCAACCAAAGTACAACCTAAAATATGTGCTCCAGCTGTTGTAACATCACATTAAGTGCTTGGGCTTCTGTGAAGAACAACCATCTACTAAATCCCTACTAAGTAATGAGACACAGATACCAACAGGGTATTTTATGTCTATTATGTGGTCCTTCACACCAGCCCAGCAGCAGAGGTCCTTATATATAACTCAGTAAATATTTGCTGCATGGCTCAGTGCTTATCTAATTTTAAGCATGAACCCAAAACATGGTTGAGGCTATATGCTTTATGCACTGTGAGTCTAGCCTCCTGGCAGTAAATTCACTCATTTTTTCTAATCCAGTAATACAGATGTTGGTGTGTCATAAACCCTAGGACCT